GTCAACTTTGCCAGCTATTTTGTAAAGAATCCAGGTGATCTCGAAGGCACAACGGATTAAAGAACTATTTCGATTTAAAATTACTGCGTGTCGCGCAAAACAGCAACACAAGCAATTCTAATAAACAAAAGGGGTAACAAACAGAAACAAATCTCAATAATACGAGCCTGAATTATGAAGTATGATCAAAAAGCCACGAATCCAATGATCAGGTTGGCAGAACTTCGTTAACACTGACAAGGAGCTTGAAAACAGAGAAAACAGATACTGGAAAAAGTTCTTCCAATTTCTATTAAAATACATGAAGTTCTAAAAAGCTCAACAAATAACAACAAGCAAAAATTAGCTCATGGTAGGCAGTTTTGAAGTATCGTTATTCCGTTACTAAAACCGACATTTCTGAGGTAATCGATAATCGAAAAGAAAAAGATCCATAAAAAGATTCTATGAAAAAAGAAAACATGACGAAGAAACCATTGAAGCACGCTGTTGACAAAATATCTGAGTGTGGTCTAACATTCAGCAACACTCGTAGAAAGTATCCAAATTCAACAAGGTCAATGTGTTTGAATTTCGCTTACTGGAGGCCGTTACAATAAAGTGGTTGTCCAAAGTCAGTAAAAACACCGCCGCAATGGCGATAGAATTGCCGCTTTGTAAAACTGGTTGAAGAATTGCTTCTGGCTATTTTACAATTATGGATTCTCGGTGCCTTCAAACGTTCAGCTGCTTCTGTGTTTCTGGTATTCTGTGCCAATCGTGAAACACGTTTCTCAGACGCAAAAGCTTAAAATGGGATGATCTTAGAGACCCCTAGTTTGCAGTCGAAAGTGACGGAATATTGCAATAAAAGCCAGCAGTGGCTTTAGAGCATAAACTGGATTCATTCTCTCTGAAATACCGAAATGATCAGGCAACCCGGATTTAGACTGAAACAAACGAGCTGAAGTCATTTTCAGTCTAAGTCGAAGTCTGGTCAGCGACGTGAATCTGGTCAAAATGATCAGGCTATGATGCAGACTACGCCTGAATAAAGGTTAAAGAAATTTGTTCGCAAGACAACTGACACCGAAAGACACTTCTCAGCAGCCGGTCATAAATGAATATGAATTCTGAACATTCCAATAAAACATTATTAATTACTCCTGATGGTATGATGGAGCAAAAGTATGCAAGTATGTAAAGTATGCAGCAAGCAAATAGGCTATCCTACCTCATTCAGAAATCTATACTGCTGCAAGAAGAGCTGTATACTCAGAAGAATAGAAGGTGAACAAGAAAAAAAAGTCGGTGCATAAAGTTAGGGATGCGAGACAAGAAGCTTACTGTCCCCTAAATAAAAATGCCGTTGGTTGAAAAAAAAAAGAAAAATTTGAAACTGCCGGAATGTCCAATTTAAATGCATCACTGATACACTTTCATGATTTGTACCAGAGTCTTTAACGTAATTTTTGCTGTGCTGTAGCACATTGATCCCCGTCATGATGTGATCAATCATATCAGTTTGAAATGCAGTGTAACGTTGAAAGCAAAATGTCCTGCTTGGTGAAAGCAACAGTCTGTAGTGTCTTGCCTTCCTTCCAGCGAGGTTCGAATCCTCCTCCGACTGTGATTCTGACGGACGATTTGACTGCTGTAATTGCTAGAACAGCTGTTGCACACTCGCGACCACACTACTCTCAGGTATTGCTCATAAAAATGGCTGTTTACGCGTTTTGAAATGAAATGCCCTCTTCCGAACGTCTCCCACTTATTGAGCATCTATCAGGCATTCATTTAGTTGTCGGTAATAATAAAATTTCAACTTCCTACTTAATCTTAGCCAAACAACTCTAACAGTCTTAAATTTTAGCCAAAATCACCTTATTCATTTCTCTTGTAATGTCCCAGAATGTCAGAGTCCCCGTCACAGATAATGGACAAGGACCGAAACACATAACAGGGTGAAGTCGAGGGAGTATACAGTCGTGAGGTAGTGATGAAGGCCCACACTGAATCTTGCACCGAACAAGTAACGGGCCATTGATATCCAGGGCTAATGCAGCTCTAAGTTCATCTCAATGTAACTTCTTTCAGGGAGAAAAACATTTAAATCTGCAACGATAATTTGCATCATCGGTTCTGATCATCAATAAAAGAAAAATGTATAAGCATAGGCCTTCTATCCTTTGAACGAGGGGTGATGATTCATGATTTTCCACTTAGTATATCTAAGTCTCAGGACGAATGCTTCTGATTTAATGGTTGTAGGCGTGAAATGAGTCTACTCATGCTATCATCTGACAGATATTTCGGACAAGATGGACAAGGACAAATCTAAATTTTTAACTTAAGCATTGAGTTCAAAACGTAGTTAGATGATTTTTCATGACCTGTGTTTCAACCCAATCTCCATTGTAATTCTTTAATGTTTAAACAACGCGCAGAAATTGCCTACGGTATGTAATCGTTTAACAGCTTTATTATACGCAAAATCTTAAGTAATGCATAACTCTTCCAAAACCAAATTTCAGTGCGTATTGCACCGTCTCCTTGATCCTAATTGCCAGGAGGAGGGGCATTTAAACACTCCACGATTCCATAGAATTTGAGCACCTGCAGAGTCAGATGCATCTACAAACGTTTCGTCCGCTAGGGTCACCTCACGCTGATGAAGAAGTGATATTTCAGGAACCGTTACTCCTTATATGCTAAGGTATATACATCAAAATATGCATAACCTCTGCAAAATACTTGATAATTGATCTTTCTTTTGGGAGTGAAGTCTTGCAAGAGAAAATAACTTCCTACATTTTCTTACAGAAGTTCAATTGTCATGTTAAAAGTAAGTGAATTAAATCACTGATGGCTGATGATTAATGTTTGATACATGCGCCAATCATAGAAACTTCTGTCATCCGGACATTTCTGCAGGACAGAGAGTAAAACCACCATTATTGAAGCTATCAAGAATAATGTGCAATATATAGAAATAGTTAGATTAGTCATAATTACTTCTCGACAGCAACTAATTCGAAACTGCCAAGAAAACTTTCAGCAAAATGTTCAGAACTGAATCGTGTCTACGATCAGCAGCAAAATAGTACAAGTGTATCATGTTTTATCGTCATCTGCAGTCACGGACGACGGCGGTCCTATTAACCCAAGACTAATGATGACTGACGTGTATGTAGAATTTTCGAAATAATTTAAGCACTAGCTGTTGTTCATGTCGTAAGTAAATCTGATTTAGACGACGTTGCATCAGCCCTTGAACTGACCTCTGGGCTTCTGCACACGTATTCCTCACTTCTGATGATAAAAACGTCTTTTGATGCAGGTATTTTAGTTTGATGCCATTTTAAATAGAGGTGCCATTTAATGCCAGCCATCAGAACTGCTGGTCTCGCGGATGACAAGCCGGAGAACATTAAGCAAATGATTTTGAAACTGATTTCCACTCTGCGACTTGTCCTTTAATGGTGGTAAAGCTTCGTTGGTTCTACACACGCACACACACACAGTAGACCGATCTAAAAGCAATGAAACTGCCGATGTTTCAGGAAAACGACAGTAGCCATTCCCAGGAAAACAAATTTGGCAGTTCTAGCAAAGACTTCAACACCGGTTTACTGATTGTGTTGTCTAGAATCATTGAGGCATCCATTTTATTAGGTAAATTAAGTCCACGAAATGTTGAAAGTGACTCACCGTTTTCGTAGAATCCCCTCCTGGCCAAGAACATGCGTGTCATCGACGAGGACAGCTAGAAGAAGGGAAAGATGAGGAAGCGCCGTGGCGAATGCACAATGAGTTTCGGCTCCTCGACCTCTGATCGGTCGACGAGGGCGAAACGGCGTAACCGGACTGTGTTTACTCAGAGCCTTCGTCAGTCGAGTGCAAACGGACACGGCACTGGAGAGTGCGCACTTTTTGCCCCCTCTATGGAGATCTCGATGACGAAAGCCAGTTCCGCTCCAGACATGCATGACTCGCATCACTAGTCTACATACGCAAAACCGAGGTCGTCGCCAGCTTCATCGACTTTTCAGGGGTCACATGTTCTCCAACGCATGTAATTTTTAGTGTAAAAAGCAACGCACTGC